GTAGAAGCAGTAGCAGTAGTAGCAGTTGTAGTAGTAGTACTACTAGTAGTAGTGGCAGTAGTCGTAGTAGTAGTAGTAGTAGCATCAGCAGAAGTAGCAGTAGTAGTAGTAGTAGTGATAATATTAGGAGTATCCGTAAAAGTAGATTCGAAGTAGTAGTAGTAGTAGTAGTAGGAGTCGTCGTCGTCGTAGTAGTAGTAGTAGTAGCAATCGTAGTAGTAGTAATAGTAGTAGTAGTAGTAGTAGTACTAGCAGTAGTAGTAGTAGTAGTAGTAGTAGTAGTCGTAGTAACATAGATGTTATTTTGCCTTGTGCTAGCAGCCGTAGTAGTAGTGGTGGTCGTAGAAGTTGTAGTGGTAGAAGTGATCGTATAAAGAACAGAGCTAGTAGTGCTGGTCGCAGAAGTGGTGAAGGGTGTACAGCGAAATGGTAGTAGTAGAAAAATACGGCGAATGGCACTAGACCGGGTACAAATACTAATCGCAGTAGTAGTAGTAGTCGTAGTACTAGTAGTAGTAGTGGTAGTAGTAGTAGTAGTAGTAGTAGTAGTAGTAGTAGTACTCGTAGCCGAAGTAGTCGCAGTACTACTACTAATACTAGTAGTAATGATGATCATATTAACATTAAACATTGAGAAATAGTAGACATGGTAAACGTAATCGTAGTAATCATAGTAGATATAGTCGGCGTAGTAGTAGTAGCCGTGGTAGTAGCACTAGTAATAGTAGTCGTCGTCGTAATAATAACAATACGAGTACCAGTAGTAGTAGCAGTGGTAGTATTGATAGTAGTAGTAATCGTAGTACAAAGATAGTAGTAGTAGTAGTAGTAGTAGTAGTGGTAGTAGTAGGAATAATAGTAGTAGCAGTGTCGGTAGTAGAAACAGTATTAGTAGCCGCCGTCGTAGTAGTAGTAGTAGCCGTAATAGTAGCAATCAAACTCGTAGTAGTAGTAGTAGTAGTAGCAGAAGTAGTAGCAGAAGTAGTATTAGTAGTACCAGTAGCAGTAGTAGTAGTAGTAGTAGTAGTAGTAGTAGAAGTAGTAGTAGTAGTAGTAGTAGTAGTAATGTAGTAGCCGTAGTCGTAGTGGTAGTAGTAGCAGCAGTCGGAGTAGTAGTAGTAGTAGTAGTAGTAGTAGAAGAAGTAGTAGTAGTAGTAGTAGTAGTCGTAGTCGTAGTAGTAGTAGTAGTAGTAGTAGTAGTAGTAGTGGTAGCAAAGGTAGTAGTAGTAGTAGTAGTAGTAGTAGTAGTAGTAGTAGTAATAGTAGTAGCAAGCGTAGTAGAAGTAATAGTAATAGTAGTAGTAGTAGTAGTAGTAGTCGTAGTAGTAGTAGTAATAGTAGTAGTAGTAGTAGTAGTAGTAGTCGTAGTAGTAGTAGCAGTAGTAGTAGTAGTAGTAATAGTAGTAGTAGTAATAGTAGTAGTAGTGGTGGTAGTAGTAGTAGTAGTAGTAGAAGTAGTAATAGTAATAGTAGTAGTAGTACTGGGCGCAGTCGTGCTGCTGGCTGTAGTAGTGCTAGTAACGCTGGTGGCACCAGCACAAGCAGAAGCGAGTGCACGTGTACTACTACTAGTAGTAGTCGTCAAAGTAGCGGTCGTAGTATTGATAATAGTTCGCCGGTCCAATATGCCGGAAGCGTCCTAAGATCTTTGGGAACAAGCGAATTGCACATATTCTCTAGTCCGCGCGCGCGGGGCCGCCCCCGGGGTCCCTGGACGAAAAATACCCTCCGGAACCCCCGGCAAGGTCCCAGCAGACTCGGGTAAGGGGAGATGGTTTTGCTCTCGGGTGCGGCCTCCCATACTCCCAG